TTACTTTCACCCGGCACCATGTTCTTTCGCCGCGTCGATTTGCTGCGAATCTTCGCCGTGGGGACCACGCCTTCGATAACCGCGCGATCGTTGCAACTCGTAGTGATAAACAAACGTAGAGATATATCCTTTGAGTAAATCTTATTTGCCATTCGGTGAAATGATAGCCGACAGCTTTTCTACATATTGCAGTTGAATCGCATGAGAAAGTATCCTTTCCAATGCAGTCGCGGAGGAATCGGCTGAAAATAATTATTAATTAATATTGAAACATGTTAAGAATATTGACATACGGTTAATACGTGTCCTTTCCAGTTAATTCTTAAGATGTTTCAATTTATCGAATAACCTACACAAACCTTCCTGAGAAGAGAGCTTCGCTTAACGAAGAGTAAGAGCTGAATTTTCCCTGTTTTCGCTCAAGGCATGTCACTGGCATCGATTGAAGAGCGAAACGCAACGTATGTCGCTCGTAGAACCAGTCGGGAAATAGTGAAATGTGACTTTCCTATCACTTATACCGACACACCAGTCTACGTTCGTCTCGGATCGAGCAGAGAGGACCCCTCCTCTCGCAATCAGATTGCTCGAGCTTTTTCGTACGCGTCACGTTTTTGAACAGCAATGCGTATTTATCCGTCCATGTGCGATCGTTGAAAAGTGGGTCGTGCTTGTACGAAGATACTGCATTCATGCACTTTCTTCTGCCGGTGTCGTTTTACCGCGGATTTAGAGAAGGATATTAAATGAAGGCAAAAGGATACGTATAATATAAAGAAAAATTTTAAAAGTAATAAATCTGTACAAGAGATACATATAAAACTTTTTTAAAGATAAAAAGAAGTCAGCTGGATATAATACTACGTAATACTCCGTATTTATTTATTTATTTTTTTTTTTTTAATGTTATACAAAGTTTTCAAGTTTCCAACCGTTTCGATACAGTTATTTTAATCCTTCAATCCACGTTCTTGTTTGAAAGGTATGATTAACTTACGATTAGTCTCTAAACAAAATTACAAATTTCCCTGGCTAATTTATATAAAAACACTTAGCCTCAAGCCTGTATTTCATTAGAAAGCTTGAGAAGTCGAACTGAACAAGAAGGTAGACAATTCACTTTTTAGTAGACAAAATTCATTCAAACATTTAGCTTTCCTCGGAACAAAAATATCAGCAACTTCGGTACCGTTACTGTCATAGGAATAAGGGCAGAGGTAAAAGAATAGTTTCCTCGTGAATCGTATTAAACCGGTTCGCAGACGAGTGGTGACGGGCTTGTACTGTATACGACTCGTTGAGCACTTTCCCAAAAAGAACAAAAGTTTAGAAAGGAATTCGCTCATTTCGCCAGGGCCGGCCTTGCAGTAAAAGTGATCCTCTTTTTACGCATTGACACTGTTTCTTGTCCTCATCCTTATTATATGTAACGATCGTTCTCTTCTACTTTTCTCGCTGTTAATACTTTCACCGCGAAACGTGTATACATAAAAAAGAAACCTTTCAGTCGTGAGCTGTAAGTATCAACAACCAACAAGAAAAATAACGTTAACGAAAGTAGCTGCTAGAAGAACTAATCAGCTCAACAAATCATTTCGTGCTGAACCACGGTCAAGTAAAACAGAGATATATCTTGAAATATTTTACGTATATAATAACTGTTCGTTTTTCAATCGAAAGTTTGTCAATTATTGTAAAACAGTTCTAACGAAGATACGGCAATACGAAATTTAAATTCTACTTACAATTAGTTAAAGGGGTTGTAAGATAGTCAGCAGGATTTTACAAAAACGAAAAAAAATCGCTTTATTATGAACAACATGATATGCATAAAAACTATGAAACAAACATCACAATGTCGATGTTACCAAACGCATACAATGGTACTCGAAGCGAACAACATAAATATGCAACAGCGTCTTAAATAAAACAATTATAGTAAATACTTAGACATAAATTAGCACGGTGTCATACGATCGACTTATCTAAGAATGGGCCACGGTTCATCCGTTAAAGACTACGTTTCCCGCATGTGGGATCGTATGCAGACGTGTTCAACAATTTGGTAATTTAGTATTTTCCACTTGGACTGGAATACGAGATCGTATCGTATTTATTGCTGGCGGTGTTTGAACTCTCGTAACCCTTCGAGCTGGTATACGCAATGTATCTAGGGCTCAGATTTGAATAGGAACCATGAGAACCATCTACTGGAATACTGTACGAAGTGGAAGGCGCTGAGTAACTAGCAGAGTATCCATTGGATGAGCCGGAATAACTGGAGCTGGGATTGGAATAGCTGACACTGGGGCTGGAATAGCTAGAAATTGATCCGGAATAGCTGGAACTCGAATCAGAGTAACTGGAAGAGGGGCTCGAGTAGCTGGTGCTTCCACCCGATGAATACGACACTTCGGAGGAAGATGGTATGTAATTGGAATGGGAGCTAGAGATGGATGATCCAGAAGAAATGGGAAGGGAATAACCAGAGTCGGAAGATCCACTGGAAAGAGTTATATGACCGCCGGGTGATGCAGAAGAGGTTTGTAAAGAGTAACCAGCGGATCCGTCCGATGATAATGGGAGAGAGTAGCTACCGCTCGAGCCAGAGAGACCGCCAAGTGACGAACTTCCGTGAGAGGAAGAAACGGGGATGCTATAGCCAGAGGATCCTTTTCCAAGTGAACTGGAATCAATTACTAAACCTCCGCTTACCGAGTGATAGGAGGAACTCGGGGCAATGGATTGGATTGGCAGGCTGTGACTCGATGACGACGCTCCCGGCAAACTGTACGAGCTGTAGCCGGATCCCAACATCGCCGGAAGGCTGATACTGCTTGAGGCACCGCTGCCGTAAGACGACAATCCGTGGCCTCCCGTTGCGTAGATTGGTACCGAATAACTGCTAGAACTGGAACTGCTTGAAGAAACACCGCCACCGTGCGCGCCGAAAGTAACTGGCCCATTCTTGTTGGACGAACTGAACAGACTGATACTTCCTCCCCCGCCGGCGGAGCTTAGACTAGGCGTAGCGTACGAGGATTGCCCGGAGTGTCCTGCTGAATTGAGTCCTTGAAGACCCACGGTGAGTCCTCCAGATCCCAGTGAATATCCTATAGAACCGTGTCCGAGAATGCCTCCTCCTCCTCCTAGGTTCTGAATACCCGCCGAATGTCCTAAATAAGATCCGCCGCTATATCCGGAACTTATGAGGGGAGAATTGTAGGAGGATCCGCCGCCGGAATATTCAACGACGCCGCGTTTGCCCTTCGGCGGTGGTCTGAATGGTCGGTTATCTCCCTTCGTTTCCCTACAGGAAACGCTTATAATAGCTGCCGCTACGAGGATCAATAGCACCTACAAATGCGTTGGATCGAATTAACCTTTGCGAATCTCGTACAATAACAGTGAAAGGGTAATTGAAATGTAATTACCAACGAATATTAATTAATGATGTGAAGAATAATTGACTTACTAATGATCTCATGTTGATCCTTTAGCGAGATTATTCTGTTGGTATGTTGTACGTGCCGTGGTCAAGGTGACAACCGAGTGTGTAAGTGAAATTGTAGTTTCTGATGCCATTGCTATCCAGAAGAGAGCTTTTATATACAAATCCCCTCTTGCATGGTGAAAGAAAGGTCTAGGTGAAGGTGAGTCTCACCGCGGTGGTACTAGTGCACCACCACCTCCACAGAAGGAACGCGCTTCGAAAGATCGTAGTCTAATCTATAATCACGGAATGGTAAAATTTGCAAATGAGAATGTCGTGCATGGTAAAAGTTCCTAAATCGATATTTATCGATCATTGTTTCTAGCGATCGTAAACTGGCATTTCCTCTTCCAATGAAGTCAATGTACCTCAATGAGAAAAAGGAAGGAAACAATCTGCTTCCTGAGATCCATTGACAGTGACAGATACGGAAGCAATCAAGGATGTAAGTGTAAAATTCATTCGCTAGGGAATGAAAATTGGTATCTTGAAATATACATATGTACAATGTCTTAAAATCATTCGTTTGGAGAATGAAAATTCATATCTTGAAATATATACAAAGTATTCCGATAGTTAGATACATGTTCTCAAATTTCAGTAATTAACTTTTAGATACTTTTAATGCTAATATTTGCTGCTCTTGTTAATTAAAATCTTCTTCTCGGCAGATGATTAACGTCAAGGAAATATGACTGTCACTATATTTTATGAAATTTATCAAGTTATCAAATGTCATTCGTGTCTCTCTTCTTTTGTACAGAATTTTCTGAAAATAAGAGCGCTGTGTACTCATTTATTATAACGATGCAGATTGTAATACAACAACATTGTCTGCAAAATTTTTTTTAGTGCAAAAAGCACTAAAAACGAAAACAATAGTTTGCTACTTTTTTGCGGGCGTTATTATAATACAATATGAAAGGAATTGTGCTTCATGTAGCAAGTATCCTGCGCCTTCTGAAGCTACTGAAAGTTATTTTGATATTGGAAAGTGAAATGCACGGACAGTCGGCAAAAAATCGGACCAAGATATGTGTTCTTATGCTTTTATTTTCGCGCGATTGACGGAAAAGTTAAAAATATTGCTAAAGAAATATTGCTGTGAGAAATCAGTAGCGAATGAATGAAATATATTCAAAGAAGCAATCTATAACAATCTGAAATTGATTTTGTTTTACTTTCACTCGTGTGATGAAGGAAGTTCACCGTTTTTATTCTCTGCCCTACAAACTTCTCGAATGAAATTCGACAAAAACGTGAATTCTTTGCCAATTGAGTCATTCGTTAAATCAATTTCTACTGTTTCAATGTAAATTATACTCGAAAGAAATAGAATCATCTTTTTCGAGCATAATTTACATAGCTTTTTTTAATCGAATGAACAAGGTATTTTGAGATAGTAATCAACACAGTATTATATCAATGATCAAAAATTAATGTTCCTGATACACTTAGCAAATAGAAAAGTAAACTAACATTCACCGAAACTGAATCAACAGATCAGACCAAGTAAATTATTCAGATTATTAATAAGACATTAATAGATTGCAGTACAAATTTTTAACCACAAAGGAATCTTAACCATAATGTGTTACAAAATTTGCAATAAGATATTTAGTTACTGAATGTGCAGAACACAATTGCCCAAGATTCCCAATCAATTTGAACAACACAGAAAAGTAGAGCCAATTTTTTTTAGAGTTCATTAAAGCAATAAATTTAGTTGTCGATGCGACATTGTAAAAAGAAAAAAAAAATTAATATAAGTTTATCAAACGAGCTGTAAATAATCAGTAATTGAAAGATGTAACAAATATTATTTGCATACTGTGAAAGTAAATTATTTAGTAATCCAAGTCAGTATTCTAATTAAATATACATTCTCTTTTAAATAGAACAATGTGAACTTCCACGTTAGATATAATAACTTTCAATTAGACTACGCAAAGATCATAGGAAATTTTTCAGACACGAACGTAAATTCGTATATCATTTGCACAAAAAGTGGATGTAATTAACAATCTATAGTTACGTTATCAACATGTTGTACACTTAGTGACCAGTTCTATGAATGCGAATGAATGGTGAGCTGCTCTATAATTATGTCAGTTAAGAAGCAAATGATTTCGAGAGATCTGAAGTATGTACATACATACATAATTAGGTCTTCCGCAGATATAAAAATCATATGAAGGAGGCATCCTTGTCGTATTTTTGAAGAAATGAAAATAATGCAATTAATCCATTAAAAGCTACATTAAATTAGTATATTAAATTATACGAACCCATTTATCATTTTTATACGACTTTCATGCATTCACTTACAGGGAAACTAATTTCTAATCTGAACTACTTTTTTATATAACTAATAATTTACTACTGGCGTTCATGGATGCTATAACCTTGTATGTATCAATAATACATTACTAATTAATGTGTACAAAAAACGATACACTTTTGTACACTACAATCAATTTATTACCATCTAATAATTTATAGCGGGTAAGATAAATAAAAATCTTTTTTTTTATATATTTTATACATATATATATATATATATATATATATA